TGCCGACGGACCCACTGTGGCCTCCCGCTTGCTCCGAATCTCTGACAAAACAGGCCCTGCTTGAGGATCGACGCCTTTCAGCGCCCACTCCTCGTACTCTATCCTGTCCATCAAACTCTCTCCAGCTCTGTACGTCCGCCTCTTCCAGTCGAAAGTCGACTTGGCACCTGGCTCATTGAGGGAAAGCCAGTAGTTGGAAGCTTTGTTTAGCAGCCGGGTTGCGAGTGGTAGTTGCTGTGATTGCTCCTCATTGCCTTTACCTGGCGCCGAGACGGGTGCTGCAGCTGCATTGCGCGCGATTCCTGAAGAGGGTGGAAGGGGTGCGGAAACAAAGGTAGAGACAGCCGATGCCGTAGGGCTAGCCCGGGCAAGCGGAACAGCCAACAGTCTCATACTTGGGCGGTGTGCGAGATGTCTGACTTGTCTTTTTCGACTAAAGGAGGATCCAGTGGAGGGGAACGAAATGCCGCGTGGGATGTCGACCGCGATGCCGACCTTCGTCTATGTCGTGCCTTGGAGATGTGGTGGTGGAAGCGAACGTGGCGGTGCTGGAAGAATTCGATTCGAAGACGCGTTCAGCCGCGCGCGGCTTGCCGATTTCCTGCATACGCGTGCACCAGCGCAGAGGCATCAAGCAAAAGCCGGTACCTATTGCTTGCTCATCATGGTCACATAGCAGCCCCGGCGACTGCTGCCCATTGCAGGTCTGGAGAGGGCCTTTGATGCTGTTGATATCGCAAGGCAATGCGAATCGTCAACACGGAGCGACCCGTTGAAACTTCGATGTGTGCACCGCAACAGTCCTGATTGGGATGAGATGCAGTGAAATTCGACGGACAGTAGTGCTACTACTCCTTTTGTCAAGGTGGAGGTAGATGTGAGCGTGGTGCCAACTGTGTCGTAAGCACAAAATCCTCCCACGCACGCAAACACGCACGCAAACAGCAACAACCGTCTCTGTCGCTCTAGTAGAAGCATCGGCACAAGGCGAAAGCATTTGGAAAACCACATGATGCGTCTCAATTTGTCCTATAAGAAGTTCACGACGCATCAGCGCTGGCTCATGAATCCCCTTGGCGGACAAGATGATTTTCAAACCAGAATTGCCTTGCGCAAATCGCTGCACTTCTGCCAGGTGTTGGGAGAACCCTTGCCAGCTGTCTGAAAAGTCTTGCCTCCATGGCTGCTCTTTACATGCTAGCACAACACTCTTGTAGTGCTGCCTGCAAGCTAGCGGCATGTCCGACTGGGTTCGTGATGTCCAGCGAGGCAAAGTTCCGCCATGGAGGACTTTGGTTCTGTCAAATTGGATCGGACGTAGAAGACTCAGATGCGGCGACCACAATGTTTGGCCACCTTTTTTTCCAACTCACTTCCAGTAGCTCAGCTATGGCAACGCTTGCATGCATGTTCAGGAGAGCTGTCTGGCAGCTCCACAACCTTGTATCCCCCCTCAAGCTCAAACTCTCCATCAACATCCTCATCCACCATCACAAACTTGTCCAAGATAGCCTCTGTCTTGTCTAGGTTGTGCCAGCCTAGTCCACAAAGCCAGCTGCAGACACAAGCATTGTTCCTGTCCCCCATCCCTGTTTTTTTTTCATGCTCTCCATGCTCTTTCCCTTCTCCAGCAGCATCTTGGCTTCCTCCACAGAGAGCTCTGCTGCAAGGTACA